ACCTTTTCTAACCCGTCCTTCCTCACGGGAAGGCAGCATCGCTGCTTCCATAAATATGGACATGCTGGTCGCCTGGGGGAAATACCTTACTGCCTTCACACTCCTGTCGCAGAGGACAGTACGACTTTACCCCCAGACTGCCTCGTAGCACGATTACTCGTAGTACGGGGTCTCGCTGCTGTTGGTCTGGCTGCTCCCCTTTGGCCTTCCTGGCATGGTTGCACCTTGTGAAACGAAGTTCCAGCCAGTGTCGCCCGCGGGGTCGCTGCAGCACTCAAGCCCGAACATCAAATCAAGGTGGCAGCTTTAGGTCGGGGCCGTGTGAACCAACTGCAGAAAGTCAAACTTAGACCTCCCACATACCTCATACAACGTGTGCACCACATCAAGGTGGCAGCTTTAGGTCGGGGCCGTGTGAACCAACTGCAGAAAGTCAGACTTAGACCTCCCACATACCTCATACAGTTCAACGTGTGCACTAAAGGAAGCTGCGGACATCCTGGGTCAGCAAACTTCCGTATCAACTACACGAGCGCAAATTTTGCACTGAAGTCGATGGTCTTCCTGATTTGGACCGAACTTGCCCGATTTCGGTTTACCATGGAGGCGGCTGAACTAAATCTTCAGTCCTTACGTCTCAGCCCGTTCATCGGTATAGACTAAATCAACTGAAGATCACTGCTATACCCGGCAAGAGAGTTCGTGCTGCCAAGTCCTTTTGCACACTGCACCAGAGCGAGTGCAGAAGGGAAGTGTCACAACAACGTAACAGGCAGACAATAGGTCTAAACTGGCTAACAACGGCCAGTTGCTCTTTCCGTTCTCTCCAGAGGGGTGGAGCCAATCGTTGCAGATCATTTGCGAGCATACCCGGAAGGTTGAGGCCTAGTCGCAACATGAAAGAGTGGTTTCTGACAGAAGCCGTCTCGTGTCACTAGCCTGTTCACACAAAACAGCTGTACAATGGACCGAAATGTGGTGTTTGATGTTAACTTCGTTTGGCAACGGGTTAACAAAATGTATTGTCGGGAAAAATAACTGCACATGAGTGTGGACAAGCAGCCCATTTTAATGGATCCGGTCATATCTCGTTACTAGAGTAGTATCCGTTTGGGTTGATGAATCATTGCCAGATCACACCAATCACCAGTAGAGTCCCTCTTGACTCCGTAAAAAAATCCTCTTGTTTATATCCCTCTGTAGCCTTCTCAAAATTCTGAAGGACTACAGTCACTGAGAGACCACACCAAACGTAAAACCGACCTACAACCAGGGCTGGTGCGACATTTCACTTCTTTGCCTTGGCACTCCAATAAAGTACTCATTTGGTCCTCGCAGCTTCTGTACCACCAGTCATGCGAAAGGCTTGTGGGTCATTATCTAGTCACCATCTTTGCCTACACCATTACCAACCGGTCGGACCGCATCACGCAAACATTATTGGCATTACTGAAATTATGCATTACTGGCCCGCTCGGACCAGCCGCAATTAACCCTACCATAAGAGCTCAACCTTCACCCGCTTTGACTTTCATACCGGATGTCTGATTCACGCGCGAGGGACAGCTGCAAGGAAGAGCGACCAACCTGGTGCGGTGTCTCATTAACAACATTATGACGGAAGACTAATGATGCTGAGTAACCGGGGTCTTCTTTGTGGCCTCGTCCTCAATTACTGCTTCCGATCGCCCGTTAGTAACAATCGCGAAACGCGACAAGCCTTCGAGGTCATCATCGAATACCTGCCTACTAATACAGCTGTCTTCATTGCCGTCCGTGTTTCCCTCCAGTGGCATTCGCTGTCTACTGTGGTGGTCTATGCATCATGGAGCAAGATCGCTCAGTGGTTAGAGCGCGAATTTACTGACCGGAAGGTCCGACCTCCGCCTCTCGACTTCCCCTGTCTAGGCTTGGACAGCCTGGCAGTATCCCAGCCCTCTTGTTTCCTTGTGGTAGCATGGCAGCTAGGCACCATTCCAGACAGTTTAAACTATGACCAGACCAACATATTCGTGAATTTTTCTTTATACCTGCATAGCTTCAATGACATATGTCCAGCACTTTGCCTTGTGGGATATGATGTGGTCATTATTCTCACACGTATTACACACCGTCAATGATTCCTAAGAGATCCACTGTTCAATTGTTACTTAGTCGAATGTGTCAAGTTTAGGGCAACGGGGACCGGTATCTTGTTGTTACGAACAGCATTATTTGGAATCAGCTGGGCGGTGTTTCGAGCAACCGCAGAACAAACACGGGTAATCCATTCATGTGCGTTTCACTCAAAAACAGGGAAGTCAGAGATCTCGCACCATTTGTGGGCTCGACGAGTAATGTTTTAAAGGTCGCGTTGGTAACTGACTAGTTACTTGGATGACAGTAGCGTCCACTGGATCCCTACTTCCGTCACCTTAAAGGTAGTTCTTAGCTGAAGTAGGCGGAATCGCTTGTTAGGTAAAATGTGACTAAGTGGTGGCGGTCGTACTCCCGATTCACTATCCCTTTGTACGATCAGATATTTCCTGACCAGATTCGACTTTCTGTGGCCAACAGTTCAGCTCAAGGAACGGAAGCAGTGTGATTGAGTCGCATCGATCGGTGGGAAGAGCTGTAGTCTGTAGGGGACCAGCCGTATGCTGTTTTACTGACTCGCTGTGTTGTAGTATGCGAAGATAATAATTGTAATCAGTGTTTGATACCCCGTTGTTCTGGGTTCCGAAGAAGAACTTCTTTCGTTCTCTTCAGTTGTTCTGTTTTGTGGTCACCATTCGAGTGTAGATACGTGTCACAAAAATTACTCGGTGGAATTGGCGGTGTCAAGGCCACTGATCACTATGGTTTTACTGCGTTACACTCATATTTCTCAGTCACTCATAAGAAAAAGAAGTGGGGCTTCTAGTATATCCACTCCTGCAATCGCACCCACACAAAACTGGGTGATACTGCTGAAATTGGATCTTCTCGGTCTACAAAGCGTGTGATGTGGTTCTTATTTGTTACCTCCCCCACGGAAAAACATCGTGTTTCCGGAGGTGCTTGTGTCCGCCGCTATTTTCTCTGCATATGTTTGTTGTATCACCAAGGTGAGACAACGTGACCTCCATGTGGCTTATTGAACTGGTTACTGGGACTAATAAGATACACGCATATCTTCTCTCAGGCTTCTTGCGTTGTCAACGTGACGCATCTCTGGAAGCCAACTCGCTCTCTCTGAGGCTTTAATCTTTCAGGTGGAGCCAAATCATCAGTTGGAGGCCCACGACTGAGGAGCGGGCCCAGGGGATACGATGTGCCCATCAACCGCAAATGCTGCTTTTTCCCAGACTTGCCAGTTACTGCTCTTGAAATGCAAGCTGAAATTTGAATCCTTTTCGTCTAACCAGATGGTATGTCGATGTTAACGGGAGACCAGCGAATATTTTGTCATGTTCTTCAACTGAGTGTGCTGCACAAGTGCACGATATTCGAGATATCGAAGTATATTGCCGAGGAGTTCTCAAGGACCTTATAAGTAGTGTATAATATCGAAAATTAAGGTCTATTTGCTCCGGTGGTGGTCTCTCATCAAGGGAAATAGCCTTGCTGTCTATCCGAAATCTCACAAAGGTATTCTATACACTATGAGTGGAAGTCATTCCTTTTTAGTCTGTCCCAAATAGTTCGTTTCTCCGCTTTTTAACACTCCTTGTCTAGGCTTGGGCGACTTGGCAGTATCCCAGCGCTCGTGCCTCCTTGGTGTGGCAGCTAGGCACCCAAAGGGTGCTACAGCTGAACGATTACTATTTATTTATTATTGTTTTTTAACACACTACTCCCTCTGTCTAAAAATACTGCATGTAACGACTCCCTTGCTATAGCAGATATGTGGATGTGCTGTCGGTGATAATGACGACTTACAACCACCTCTCCAATATGATTGGATTCATGTGACTTCAATGAACAAAGATAATAAAGAATCTATGTGGTGTTTTTCGGTAACATCAGTTTATGTAAATTACATGCCGTACGTCGCCTCGTAGGTCTAGTCCTTGATATCTAATGTGTTCGCTGAGCTTAGCGAATAGGTAGCGAATCAGCTGCCAGGCTAGACGAACGGGACTATGGTCGACATTCCTGTGAACACTCAGGTTTGACCCTCGTTTAATTCGAGTTGGCCCATGAGTCAAGGTGGGGACTGCCAGTCGAGGGGTCCATACTTCAAACCAAACCTTGACTTTTTGACTACCCTTGTCCGGTTTCGGCAGTCCATTAATATTTCTGCACTTCATTTTTTCATCTTACCTGCCATCTGCCGAGAGCGTGTGACTGCTGAACGGTTTGTCTTGACTCCTCGTCTGTGAGAAAATGTTTATTGGTTCCACATAATCTATCATTCTGTGATATAATTATCCGTTTTTCCTCTTGTAACCTGGCTCTTGTAGGTATTGGAGCGTAATGGCAGTCCACAATGTATTCGAGGTCGGGTAATCAAATGCGGTCAGAAGGTTCGGTTGCTGCATGTGTCCACTCGCAAATTCCTTCATAGCCATCACTTCCAGTCTCCTCTTTCTGGCAATTATGAAGTGTCCGCATTTGGTGAGGATGGTGTGGGAGATGAAGGTCAGTTTTCAGTTGGATTGCAATTTTCGTGGCGACACATTCCTTTTAGAAGGTTTTCTGGTTTATTCACTCCAACTATCTCGAAGAATTGCTCTTACCTTTCACAATTTTCGGACGAAGTAGCATCAGAGGGTGGTCTGTTTTTGGGAACATCGAGAAGCGAAGTTTGTTTCCTGAGTGCTTTCATCACACTTCAGGCCTCAACGATATAAGGCGGTGTGATTTTTACCTTGCATCACTTATACAGGCGGGTTTTCTTCACCAAATTACTTACGATTCACACTCCGTGACATATCACATGTACCGCAACTTCACTCATCACCAATTTCCGACTTTCGGTTTATTGTCAGTTTACCACATCACAAGCCATCTCTGAGTCGCAAAACTGTCTTGTCTTCTAGGGATACTGCTTTGATCTGTCATCATTCGATGGCCTTGTCAGAAGTGAAATTGATCAGCTTTATCTGTTAGGTATATGGGGAGGTCACTCATTCTGAACACAATTCACTCACCCGAGGAACGATAATGGAACGTGTGAAGAACTGCACCCTCCATTCTCTGTGCGTCACCTCCATATTCCGTAGAACAACTTGTTTTCGTTTCATCTGTCATAATGATGAGCTAATTAGCCACTGTATGGTTAGATGTGACCCTAGCGCGAATCTCTGAATATTTCTCGGTTTCTTAGTACTTATCGTACTCTCATATCACGTTTTGCTGATAGGGTGGATGATTCATGACTATTAGCGGACAGTTGTCTACCACCTCAGGCACTATGGCAGTGTTTGTGGAGCAACAGTGTCCCCCGTTAATTCTTTACCTTCCTTAAGGCGCTATACGCCACCTCCCGCGACCGTGTGAAGGTCGTCGAGTTTACAATGCTGCGGTGCGCTCCATATTACTACATGGATCAGAAATGCGGCCGCTGTGCGCCAAGGACGTCAAAGGACTTTCATTGTTTGACCATCGATAACTCCGGAGCATTGTTCGAATCTGGTGCGAACATCGGATCAGCAATGCTGAAGTACGTCGAATGGTATTCGGGAGAAATAACTCACCCCCGATAGATGAACTGATCAAACTCCATAGGTGGCGCTGGCTTGGTAACGTGTTGCGTATGCCAGCCGACCGACTTTCTCGAAGGGCTCTTTTCGCATAACCACCTGAAGGGTGGAAGAGAGCCACAGGCGGTCAAACGATGACTTGGCATCGAAGTATAAAAGCCACTACCAGCAAACTCAGTTGCGCTGGTCATTGCCGTCTTCCTGGAGGGGGACCCCGAGACGGCCCACACAAATGGTTAGAGACATTGTCAGACATGGCCCAGTCGCGCCCTCAATGGCGCTCATGCGTTCAAGCTATTGCCTCCAATGCATATCTCCCTTCCCAATCCAGCTACAGTGCTGCATTTATGCACTAATATATCAGCTCCCGCCTCCAATGCGCGGCTACCTACCCCACCTCCCCGAATCGTGGGTGAACAAAAATGTGGCAGCTACAACCACTGTACGACAAGCACACGGTTATTGCGGGTGACAATAATGATGATGATGATGATGATGATGATGATGATGACTATGTCCCTTCTTGAATAAGTTTCGGTTTAGTGAGAATTCACTGTACTTTAGATCGGAGAGCTGTTCCTAAGTATTATGGAAATTTCAGTGTTTAATTCAAGGAATACTGGAGTGTCCTCTTCTTGGGAGTTGTCCGTTATTGAAGATCACTACCGTGCCTACCCCCTTGGCTTTATCCTCCCTCTATTTTGCCGGAATCCTTCATCCTGGATTTGACTGATCAATCCTAACTAGATCCCTTTGTGGCCATCTAAAGTACAAAGGGGTTGTATCCGGTAGGCAAATATAGTAATAAGCCAATAGCACTCAGCCGCAACGTCCTCACGGTGCATAGCTACCGTACACTTTGAAGGAAGCACGAGGACTGAGCCACTACCAAGTTGTCTGAACCTAGACAGGGGCGATCGCGAAGCCATGGCTCGACCCGAATCACAGACCTTCCGGTCAGTAGCTTCGTGAGCTGCCCCTTAGTGTTTTTAACTGGTCTTCATTTGTTCACAGGTTTTAGGTTTCTGAGGTCCTTTTGATCGAATGTAATTATCACGTTGGTGAACCAAATAAGCTAGTCCATTCTGTTATTTAAGTTGGTTTGGTTCACTGGGGTGTGTGCATGTCTTGTATACGTTATTCAACATCCCCATTTGGTTTTGTGTCCGTAAGAACGACTGTGGAATTCGGTACCAAATTAATCTCACCAGCTCAACTTAACATCCTTTTTATCTGCCTTACGGACAATCAAGCCGTTGTAATATGCAGTTGTCTCAAGCTCATGTCCTTTAATATAATTCAAGTGCAGTTGCTCGTTTGGCCATCTAGCAGTTGGATTTACACCATACAGATATAAACTGACCTCCTTTCGCCGGATGTCTCTTATTTGGGTTTTCATGCCGAATTTATTCGTTTTTAACCCCGTAACTCCTTTCCAGGTGACGATTGGCAAGTCTTGTGCGATGGTCCTCATTGGTTGCGGTCCTCGAGAATCCGTTTGAAGCATATCTCAACAGAAGGGTAAGTGGTTGGCCACCTCATTCACGTCTGTAGTTGTTACTAAAGGTGTATCCATTCGTGTTTTTATAGCTTGATTGGGCTGTGTTGAATCGTGTCAAAAGTCATGATTAATGAAGTAATACTGATTACGACTTGTGCGTAAATGTCTCTGCGGTGACGCTAGATGACAATGTTGTAGCATAACCCTCCCAACCTATGCTACCAGCCTGCACCATTCGCTTCACTGGAGTGAATCAACCGACCCTGTAGTGCAAGATACCGTAGTCAGAAGCTCTCAACTATCGTTACCTATATGTACGACATGATCAACCTGGTGTAGCACTGTAATCAGTATTTTCTAGCATGCAGTATCTTCATAAGACTCAGTGAGTGATTTAATTTATTGAGTCTGACCGTAATCGGTACACACGCGTTAATTCCAGTACGGTTTCCGGGATAAACGTGTCTGTGGTCTCAAGACTTTCTTCCTGATTTCGAAATCGGTACCGTGAGAGTGAACCTCACATTTTGGGTACCGTGTCGAATAACAGAGACAACCATCGCCCAACAAATGTAAAAATTCAGTTCGACTAGTCATCATCCTTAAAGAGTATTTTCTGAACTAACTCGAATGACAAAATGAACGGTCATGATGGAAAACTTATAACTTTATAACTCCTTAAAGCTATTCTACGGGTTGCTGATAATTAAAACGTGGTAGGTATTTTTGCCCCAAACCTTAGTCTGAACGCATGTATGATTAGTACGTTCGAAAGCATCTCACAGTAAGACTGTGTCTATACCTAAAGCCGTTTTTCTACATTGGTCAAATTCGCTGAGCTGCACTTTTCCTTCCTAATATTCACTGTTCTTCAAACCATTATATATATATATATAGTATATATGGCGAGATGGCTCAAGTGGTGAGAGCGCGAATTTACTGACCGGAAGGTCCATGGTTCGAAACCGACATCTGCCTCTCGACTTCCCCTGTCTAGGCTTGGGCAACCTGGCAGTATCCCAGCCCTCGTGCAAACTTCGGGTGGCATGGTAGTTAGGCACCGAAAGGGTGGTACAGCTGGACGCTTTTAGCCCTCTCAAGGCGCATCTTTTCACTCTGAGGAGGCAGTCTTTAGAAAAATATGTTTAGTGATTCGCCTGTGTCTATTTCGGGTAGGTAGTCCATTGTTTGTTCGGATACCCCGGTTTTCGAACTCGTGTAGTTTTCTCAGCCAGCAACATGCTAACCAAAAATAATGTAAAATAGGATAGCCTCCAATAAGCGAAAACCCTCTCAGGATACAATAAGGAATGTCCTATGAGGCGGATTTGCCTCCCAATTTGAGCTAAGGCAGTAACATCTTTCGATCACAAACAGCAGCACGACAAAGCGTAGAGCCAGTAGGAGTATGTAGTTAACTAATTTGTACATGTTAATCCGATGAGCTGCAAGCCCATCACGGTTGTTTGCTAGCAGTTATAAATTCAACCTGTATTGTTGGCCAAAAAGCCTGCTCAATTTGACCAGTGTTATTCACAAATCGGGGTCTGTTTAGCTTTTTAGTAGGGCGTTTAACTACAGAGAGGTACTTCATGAATTGGCTCCTGCAAGTTGTATTTTCGGCGATATGTTTTACACGTGTTGTTCACATTCACCGCTTCGCTGGGAGGGGGAGCATAGTGTAAATTTCTAGTTAGCGAAAAACGCGTTCCTCATTTGACGCCTGCACTGTGTGCGCTCAGAGCCTCAGTCCACATACACTCGGCCGAATGGTTGTATGAGCTGAGTTCGACCTTGTGATTTTGCTTCAGCTGATGAATGGTGCACAACCCGCCGGCTGTCTGTCGTGCGCGTGATCTGGCTAGATGAAAGAGCCAGTTATAACATCAGTTAGCTAGTTGGGTGATTTGTGCGGGATCTTGACAAATTACTTCAGTTCTGAAAAGTACATCCCTTGTTTAGTTCCGGTAACTTGCTCGTGAGTTGCTCAGTCACGGATAATTAATATAACTCTCATTTGCGGTTTGAATTGGTTTTTACTAGAATGATTTCCTTTTTGTAATATTCTTCAGCGTAGTATGGAATGCACAGGCTCTCTAAATTTATTTGTACTGAATTTTCTTCATAAGCGGCACTGTACCTAGGATTCAGGTTAGTCGATATAGTGGATACTATACGGAACCTGATTTTCCGGTACAAACTTGCTGAGACTTGTTCGTCGATACGTTATGGCCAAAGATAATCAGGTGTTTTGTTCGAAAGTGAAGAAAAAATCTTGGAAGAGTCACCCATGTGGGATTTATCGAATACGCTCATCAAATGAACCATTCTGATTGGCATCGCTTGTTCGAAGGACAGGGATTACTGTGTTAGTAGCTCTAAAATTTGGTGGAACGTTCTCGTACACCGTGAATTTCTTTTCGATGATTCTGTATTTCATTCCCCTCCCTCCAGTTATCTTCACGTTTCTGGGCGGCAGTACAACCGACCAATAACGGGTCAGTATGAAATTAGTGCTATCTCAAGGTCATCCGGTGCTGCCTATTGGGAAGCCAGTGAAGGTGTGTACCTCAAGCCAACACAAACCTCAGCACATCAGAATGACTCTGGTGTTCACGATGAATTGTGATATTTCAGGGTACGTTAATTGGTTGCATCCGAGTACTTTAATTTCTGTTTCCATTCTACTGTTTCTAAACTACTTCGAGCAAGTTGCTCTTGGGAACGAATTTCTCAATCCTCAAGTCCTGCTTAAGTGCCTTCTACGTGTTCGTCGCTGTGGTTATATAAAGACCATGTATGTATCATTGATTCGAGTTGGCAAGTATGCTTTTTTTGAAACATTGATGTGGCAGTAATTGTCAAGGTTAATCCAGGTTTCTGGACACCCAGTGTAACCGCCAAGCTCGTGCATTTCGTATTCAGTATTCGTGGAGCTGAACTGTTTTCACCAGTGGGTATGATTGATTTGTACACTGGTTCCAGACTTCTCTTACTTTGAGTGTTTTTAACATCATCCCGGGTCGTCACTTGACATTTTTCAATTTGACTTAAACTTAGAAAGCGTGTTTTCGGTTGTGTAACGGGTACTTCCATTGAAGAATGTGTCCAGCACCGGAAGCTGCTTTGGTTGGGACATGTGTTACGTATGCCGAAACATCGTTTGCCGAAGAGAGTGCTGTTTTCCATGCTCAACTCAGAGTGGCGTAATCAGAGAGCTGGCCAACCCTTGACTTGGCAGAGGAGTATGAGGGAGATCACGAAACGCTTGGGTGCTGTCGGTGCTACTCGCCTTTCAGGATGGGGACCGCGTGATCCTCTCACTGTGCCTGGTTGGAGGCTCTCTAGGATATGGCTGCCAACCGATGTCAGTGGCGTTCTTGTTGTCAGTTTCTATCCAGATTGCCTGAGTGAATGTCTGGAGGTGTAGGCACCTCGGAATGATTGTGTTAAGCTAGCACTAAGTCCCTCCCCCGTCCACCTTTACTCTCTTCTTTACAATAAGGCTTTCAAATAAGTCATGGTTGTACGGCAGTGAAGCATCGGTGTTGAACATTGATGTCATGCCGTCGATGATGATGATAACTTAAGCTTCATGGCGCTGTACTCTAGCAAGCACGGAATTGGAATATCCTGCTTACATTCAGCATAATTTTGCCCGGAGAAGAGGATAGTCCAAATTTGGTTTTCACGAGAAACTCAATTGAATCTCCCGTTTATGACATTCTCGAATGTCGTGCCAACTGAATCATGAGACGGCCTGTGTGCAGCACATTCAGTTGTAGAATATCATAACCAAGAGATTTAGTCGATTCTCTCGTGAAAACCAAAACTGATTTGCAAATGAATGTATTTCTCGAAACCGATCCAATTTGGGTTCAAGTAGAACCTAAGGTTAACGGAAACTCAGGGATTGCGCCTACCTGATGAGTCCCAAGAAGGGCGGAACCGGTCGTGGGCTGTCGAAGAGTTTTCAGCAACCTTGTGAGTAGTTTCCCTTATGAAAAAGGGATAGTCCAAAGTTTTGTGGGACGAGGCTTGACGGCATTTTGACCCTGGGGGTTTCATGACAGCCATGCACTGAAAATACGCCGCAGTTGAATTATTTTTCCCTACTTTTTGCCTAAGATTGTTTGATCTGTCCCTGTATTTTACTCGACACTGTAGTTGAACGCTTTGAGCACTGAGCGGCTTGATCCAGTCATCTAGTGGTACGTATCAAAATGCACCGTAATGCTTGGTTGTTTTATCTTCCATTAATTTCTTCCGTTTTCTAGCTCTTCATGATCTGATTCATATTTCATATCGACGGCAAGTCTCCTTCACAGCACCGCAGCTGATAAGTTTGTTCCCCCGCTTTTCCCTATTCTGCTCTCGTGCACTCTTTTTATCGCGTTTTTATTGTTTGTCGGTTTACTTTTGTTTCTCACGAGATGTAAAATATACCTAATTTCTTTCATTGTTTTGCTTGTTCTCTGTCTCAAAGACTTCCTATGGGCTGATTTAATCCCGTGTGCGCTCGCGTAAGCTTCAGGCTGTATCATTCTGCCTGCAATGATACCTGTTTGTTGTTAATAGTCTGTCGTATTGCATGCTATGGTGAATCTGCTACTTAGTGGCTTATCACTCGACCGGCGCTTCAAACTTCTGAGTCCATACCATGGCCTGATTACTTTTGTTCTGCATTCCGGACATGAACCCTTGTAGGCGGGATTGGCCAGCCTGCGTCCAACCTTCCTTAATGAAAATAATTTCAAGGACTACGATGTTCGTCATCCTCGTTTTTTTAATATTTGGCTCTGACCTCCCTATGATAGATACGTACTCATACCGGTAGCCAAAAATCTGTACGAACGTTAACGATTTTGGTTATTTCGACAACATCTGGCCAACTTGATGTAGCTTGGTGCTAATCGCTTGGTCGTTCCCGCAGCGAGTACCAGCTTCCCTTCCGGAAACGGACTGTTTCTCGTCCCTCTCGACTGCAGTTACTGTTCCTAAAGTCTTAGCGTGACTTAATATGGTGCCCTCCCTGACTCCTTAAGCTTTGGCAGGCAACTTAACTGGCTAGCAATTGCGAAGGATCCTTTTTTCTGTTCTAGTGCTACATAGTAGTACTCTTTTCGGCTCGTGCTATTTTTTAACAGCTCACTGTGAACTTCAATCAGGGATTATTGTGATTCTGCTGATTACGTTGCACACCTCATTGACTTCATCCCATGCAGTCCTGCTTTATGTCATTTTTAAAATATTGGAAATATGCGTTAAAAGCACTACAAGCTGATATATAATAATCCAGCTAGAAGTACTTCGATTTTCGACCTAGCCCTAGGAAAACAGTAGATATAGCCTCCGTTGATGGGAGAATGTATTTGTGGCAAGTTCTGTCTAACCTCGCGTCGCGTCAGGTCATGTCACGTCAGGTGAGTCCTGAATACTTGGGGGGTTTGTACACTATTTAAGGAAAACACCACTATTCTACTCGGTCTTTTTTCAACGTGCTTATTTTCTTTTGGGACCTGTGTGGGATTGCTTAGGGGTTTCTGACCTGCTGAAAAAAGACTCGGTGGGATATGTTGGTTCCAATGACTTTCAAGCAAACCAGCAGCACGTAATTATTGTATCACGTTAGCGTTAGTCCGCAATCAATGCGTCTTTGCACATCAACAGTGCCCACACATGGTTTGAACACTGACCTCATGCTGTCACGTTGTCTTGCAGGTTGGGATCCTGTGGGCTATGTTGGCTGGAACTCAGTTCCCTAAAGTTCAACAATGTCAGGAAGGCTAGCGGTGAGCAGCCCGACAAACAGGGAGTCCTCCAATACTGCGAAAAATCGTGTTGAGGCTTTCTGGATGTAAAATCATATTATCCTGTCGTAGGATTGTGAAACCAGTGAGATGCTACCTTCAGATGTCTAGCCTATCTATACTTATGGAAGGAGCGATGCTGTCTTTCCTCAAGGAAGGGCACGTTAAAAAAAGGTCGGCCCTGAAAACCGCACACACCGATCACCCAACGGTCGACCGTGACCGCTGGCGCCGAAATACCTTCAAAACCAGAGACGTGTTGCTGGAAAGGCACCTGATATTCGCACTCGCATTAGGAGATAGAGTAACGCCTTAATCCCTGCGTCCGCGGGTCGGGTGCCTGCAGCCAAATGACTCGGTCTACTGAGTCATTAGCTCCGGGATGGGTTGGTCAAGGAAGCCGCAGCAACTGCTGCTTCCCGGTTCGTACTTTCGGGTCGGAGACTAGGGCAGGTCCTCGAAAAAAAACGGTCCGCCCACTGCCTTGTGGGCCGGGCTTTTGACCCAATCAAACCCTCTCCTTCGGTGTAGGCAACCGAGAAGTATCATTCACGCTTACAGCTCTCAGCTAGCCACCCTCCCCACCCATCGAATGATGCAGTACGATCAACCCATCTGTCATTCCCCTGACCATTATTCGTGTGTGAACTGTCACCCAGAAAAGTAAACCAAAATAATCCCCTACTAACCACAAAAGGGCTTATCCGACTTAACCTTCAATTCCTTACTTTCTATCAAATAGGAAAATAGGTATTTCTTGCTAAAACCTTGTTTTTCCTCCCTGTCGATATATCTTGTGTTTCCGAAACACGCACCCCACATCGGTTGTGCATCCCAAGCCGCTTCGGACGAGCTCAAATGCTCCACATTTCTTTATTTCGGTATATGGTGATCTTTGAAACTCCAGTGTTCAAATATTTGCTGGTGAGAATCTTGTCGATCTGAAGTACGCAGACGACATCGCCTTCATGTTTGAAGACGATGGCATGGAACAAGCTCTGTTGACTGAACTAACTGCCATCATACCATCCTTCGGTATCCGCCTATCACCTTCAAAGTGCAAACTCATACTTCAGAGCCAGTAATCTCTGAATGTACCCCTTACAATTCAAGGAGAATCACTGAAGCTTGTGAATTTTACATTGGTCGTTGTATTAGCTCTGACGGGAGTGTGTCTGATGATGTCGTTGCGAGGATCTCAAAGTCAAGAATGACGTTTACACATTTTCATCACTTGTGGCTTCAAGCACGAGCAGAGCCCAGTTCCACCAAATTTTTGTTATAGTGTGCTCCCAGCCTGCGCACACCCGAATGCGAGGCAGCAAAGGACGAGCGGAAACAGTTGGACAGCGGCACCAATGCGGCCGTTGGATTCTGAGAGCAACTCAGTCCGTCGAAGCTGACTCCTGTCTTGGCGTTGGTTTGGATCAGCGTTTAGCCCGCTCCTGAGTAAGGTTATGGTGAAGAAGTTGGGTATACCTATAATTTTTTCGGGGTGGGGGGAGGGGACTGTAGCTCCGTTGGATTTTTGGGATGGCCACCACAGCTGTTACATCAAAGCGTCCTGTTGACAGAGTACCCCATTGTTGCTCTCAGTGGCATTTCTATTCGGATCTTCCGGTGACCCAGGTGGATAGGCCGTTTGAACATGCTAACCGTCCTAGAAGCGAGTCAAGTCTCAAAGAACCACAGCCGCCCCTAAGCAAGCAAACGAGTAGCCGTGGCATCTGGGTATCGGAGGCAATGGAAATGAATCAGTTTAAGCTTTCAGGCAACATACACGCTTGTGCAATATTTTTTAGTCTCTGCACTTCATGAAGACAATGACCGATAACAGTCATTCAGCCTGTACAGTTCAGAAAATCTATTTCTGGATGACTGGTGTGGCTGTAGTAGTTTTGTTATGAGTGAGTTCTTAATCATGATCTGTTGTCCTTGTAAAAATTGGAAGCAGCCATCAGGGGATTACCATTATGCAGACCTGTTTTCTTGAAAGCTATCTCATGCACGAGTTACATCGCCAGTATTCGTACAAAGCGAAAACTGAAAGCTGCTTAAGTTGAAAGCGAGAGTGGAGTTGAAGTGATGTGCCTCAGAGTTCGTGTTTTTAGGGGCTGTCACGCGATACCTCAAAGTCAAAGTTATAGTTACACACTGATGGACACTGCTAGGAACCATAAAATTCTTCCTCTTCAGGAGTTGGTACGGATTCTCGGGGCGCTTCAGCGAATGGACTAGCTATCGATAGTTACGACTAATTACAGCTATTGATTGGCATGAAGTGCTATTACTAATCTTGCCTTTGCCCATCGGTAGGACCTGACAATATGCGTGAAATCAGAATTTTCAAAGTTGCGAGGTGAGGGTGGGCCTGTGCATTTTTCTGGAACCGTTCCGGTCATTTTGACAAACTATCTCGGAGAAAACAGAAGGTATTCAACCAGCCATTAGAATATCAGTGTATCAAGTATTTTTTCTTCCAAACCACCGCTCAGTCTTACTTCGCCTTCGCTAATCGATAAAACTGACTTTCTCACAGCGCCTTTAACGTTGTTATTTCTAAATCAAGCCAAATTAGGACTAGTCACTTAGACTGCTCTTGTCCAGTGTGGCTAGACCAGTCACCTGTGTACTGGCTACGGATGAACGGTTAGATCACATTCTGACTTTCAGGGCTTCAATCCCCTTTAGATAGAGAATATCTGTATTTGGCAAAATTAAGTGCACCTCGAAGAGAGAATGCGAGAGTCAGGGTGAGTCAAAACCTGCGAGAGTCCATATGAAGTAAAAATTAAGCTGTGCCATGAGCATGCTGGAAGCCGCTTACTCGAGCCAAGTTAACGGCGTTTCTTGTTTACATTAAATCATATTCCTATAAAGTATAATCGATCAGTCCTCCAACACGTACCGTTGCGCGTTCCTTCTTACCGAGGTCAATCAGATGGATGTAACAAGATCACACTTGACGCCCAGATCCAAACATCACATTCAAGACCAAGCGGTGACCAATAATGCGCGATGTAAATTGGTTTCCCAGGGTGTATTACGGATGCTTTCTATTTGTCAATTGCAATAATTCTAAGTACGCTGCTTGGGGGTTATCAGCTCTTCCTTAAAGGTTGTATAAATTTGGAGGAATTTTGACTAATTGTCAGTATTCAGAGCCCCATAAAACTGCGAACTATACGCTGAACCACGCAGTCACTTAACTTGGGTTTCCATTCGGGATTGGTCTACTGCTTGAATCGATATGGTCTTATCCGTACGGGGTGTAAAAATAACTAAGGTTGTTGGCCAACGTTGATTAAAGGTTGACTAAGTGCTGCAAGCCAATTTGCGCACCCAAGTTCTAGTTTATTTGAACAGTCGTTACTTTATCAGCACGGTGCATGATGTAGTCACAGGTATTCGTCCTAATTATGGACTCCAATCCACGACCCTACCTTATTTTTTCTAATATGAGGTTAAACAGGATATTGCGACCAATGACTTGCTTATGCAATCGTTATTCACACAACCAAAGGGCAGCAGCAATCAAAACAGCCCACGCTATATTTGTTTGTTGATTCAAAACTGCAGAATCTGTTTTACTCTTTGGTAAACGCAAGTTCCGTACTCTGTGGTTGATGCCAAGTAACAGCTGCAC